AAAGTATGTGGTAATCATGATTCCCCATTATATTGTTTTGAAGCCTTACAATGTTTTCATTCATTAACTGGAATTGTTTTATTCTGGGGTGTTTGATTTTATTGTCTGTGATGGTATGAACAGTTATCTTGAAGAAAATAAGTCGTTATAATAGCTAGTGCTGATTTAATATCAGCTTGTTTTGAAGCCCCATAGCTTTTGTTCTTCTGTCTCCATCGGTTTTATCATGTTGTATCTTATTGGATTTTACTATATGCGATAGTATAAACAAAATTTGTTTTATCGGTATCATGGATCGAACTGACAACTGCCTGCTTATATGCAGGCGCTTATGCTACTGAGCTAAATCCCCAGCCCCTAAACAAAACTTTTCATAGTCAAGGAGATAATATAGAAACTATTGTTCATTTTCTGTTAGTTGGTTTTAAATACCCTGTAATTTTTTCATTTCCTTGAATGGTTTTACACTATCTTGTTATGTTTGATGCTGTAGTATACAAAGGTATACTCAAATATTTCAAGGAAAGAGACACTATGGTAACTACTGTTATGTCGGGTTATCTTGTGGTGAAACACTATGTTGCTTAAATTGTTCTGTTCTGGGGGCTGGGGATTTAGCTCAGCAGCATAAGCACCTGCCTTGCAAGCAGGTGATCATGAGTGCAATCCCTGGTACCGATAAAAAATAAAGAAATACCTTTTAAAAAATTTGTTCTGTTCTGACCTGTGTTGTTATGTCCTCTTTCATCTTAATCTCCCCCTTTTTTTTATACATATATTTTTTAAAATTAGAAAAAATAAACCTCAGAAATGCAGGGTACAAGATCAACACAAAAAACTATTAGCTTTTGTGCACATTAACAATGAATAGAATGAGAATGAAATTAAAACAGCTTCAAGTACAGCAGCTTCAAGAAAAATGAAATGCCTAGGAATTAACCTACCCAAGGAAGTAAAAGACTTGCACAAAGAAAACTACAGCACTCTGAGGCGATTGATGAGGACATCACAAAATGGAAAGACTTCCCCTGCTCCTAAACAAGCAGAATGAATACTGTCAAAGCTGCCATACTCCTAAAACTGTTACAAAGATTCAACGCAGTCCCAGTCAAAATAACACTAAAACATTTCATAGATCTAAAAAAAAAATCCTAAAATTCACATGGAACCAGAAGAGATCCAGAATGAACAAAATCAATTTTTGGCAACAAGAGCAAAGCAGAAAACAGCAATACTTGACCTCAAGCTATACTACAAAAGTAAGAGTTACATAAAAACAGCATGGTATGCCAACAAAACCAGATACATGGATGATGGGACAGAACTGAGGTTACAGAAACTTGTGACACAGTTACTTGATCTTCAACAAAGGAGCCAAAAGCATATGCTAGAGGAAAGATGGACTATTCAACAAGTGGTGCCAGGAAAATGGGTTATCTATGTGCAAAAGAGTGAAACTGGATCCTTATAGCTCAGATTCCAAGCCTAATCTCTTCCTACTTACACTATACTTGTTACCTTTTAAATTCTAATGCCTATAAACAAATAGTTACACATCACCCAGGTCCTTCCTAGCTACTCCTTCATCTCAAGACAAGTCAGTGAAAGGCACTGAGAGGGCAACTGCTAAAAAGAAGGTAAAAAACTGGAAAAAAAAAAAAATGAAATTCAACAAGTGACTATATGACAGTATATCCTTTACCTAACCTTTACAAAGGATAATGTAAATGCTGTATTTTTTTCTTTTTTGGTACTGCAGATTGAACGCTGTATTTCTTTTTTTCCCTTCTTTTGTTTAGGGGGTACAGGGATTGAACTCAATCTCATGTTTGCCAGGCAGGAACTTAGGCGGTTAAGCTATATCCCCAGCCCTAAATACTGTGTGTAATACAGAATTTCTCTCTTTTTTTATAGCAAACCCATTGATCTCTTTGTTTCTTTCACTGAATGAACTGAGGGCCCACTGTGCACAATGTACTTCGAAAAACATGAGTAAACCACGGCCTCCACCTTCCAAACACTCCTATAAAAAACTGAAGACAAGTCACATACAAATTATAGTTCATTTAGTAAGAATGGACACATATCAAGAAACAGTTTTTGGAAAGCTTAATTTTAAGTAAAACAGGTTTTATGCCTTTGATGAATCAACTTTTCTTAATTTTAAGCAGGTCGGATAAAAAAAATGGTGTCCCTTATTACATATACAATGAAAAGAACTAATACTAAGCTTACTTGCATGTAAAACACATCGCATGCGTACCTTCAGTCTTCACCAAAACACTAAGGTAGGTACATTAATGGTTTTGCTTTAAAAAAAAGATATATGAAAAAAAGATTAACTGTCCAAAGTCACCAGCTGCTAAAAGAGCTGTGACTCAAATGCAGCAGTCTACTTTCTAGTCCCTTTTTGATATTTCATTCATTGATTCAAATACGTTGACTATTTATTGTACATTGAGTATCATACTGGGAAATGTGCACTGTGCAATAAACAAGACAATTTATTCATGAAGCTCACCTTCTGATTCAAAACATTTGTTTTCTAACAAATACGTAATTTAATTATAGATTGTATATGTTATAAAAGAAATAGGTGATGTGACACAATAACTGGGAAAGACAACTTCCATTATGATGCTATCGAAAGGCTTCCTATCATTTCGTTCTGTTCTCGAACTCAGGCTGGCCACACAGTCAAACTAGGACCCTGAGGAGCAAAAGGTAGAAGACAGACCACTGCTAGTGAAAATGAAGTGGCATGAAAAATAAAGGGGGAAACAGACTTGTAAGTTACAGTGAGTTGGTGAAGCCCCCAAGCTGAGACTGAAAGAGGAGTTGTGATTTCAAATAACACACGTAGCCATTTTGGATAAGGACAGTATAAGCATAGCCTCTGACTAGAATGAGACTAGGTTAGGAGAAATACCCAAATTGTGGGGCTAGAGTCTTCAAACTTTATTATGGAGATAAGCATAATCAGACAATAGAAAAAGTAGTTTCTCTACAATGTCTCATTTGGTTAGTTTTTGGCAAACGTTTGTTTGCAAGATAAAGAATTACAGTAGAGAAATAAAAGAGACATTTGACTTGGTAACAAATTTTTTAAACTGCCCATCTGGGGTGGTAACAGGAATGGAGAAAGCTATTTCAGCCATTCTCAGTATGTCTGACAGATTCAAAATGGTACCTAAAAGATACCTGCAGAATCCAACGTGAAGTATTCTCAGTCCTACCACACTAAATAAAATCAAATGTGAAGACATTTATTCAACAATATTATTCAATATTTTCTCTACTGAACATCACCTATGCTTGATTAATATGGTTTCCTATTACTTTAAGATTTTATTACATAAGCGCTGGTACATAACTATCATTACAAAATGCATAGTGTATAACAGATTGTTCTACTCAGACGGTATACAATTTTCAAAAGTGAACTATTTTTTTTTTTTTTTTTTTTTTTTTTTTTTTTGTCTTTTTCATTTTTATCGGTACCGGGGATTGAACTCACGACCGCCTGCTTGCAAGGCAGGTGCTTATGCCGCTGAGCTAAACCCCCAGCCGAAAAGTGAACTATTTGTTTTCAGTCCTGGGCCCACACAGGTCTGTAGAAATTAAAAAACGTTAAGCAAAAGGACTGGCACTAGCTTTAGCTTGTTGAGTAGCCCCAATGCTATTTTTAGATCGGTAACACTTCCATGTGCCACTTTTTCCAAATGATACTAACAAGACCAAGGATCACAGTCTATGCAAAAAAGAGATCTATATATTGTAGGTAAGTCACTGTAGTCTTAGCTGTTACAAGTGTTGTGAACTTAAGGATTTTATTTTTAATTTTACAAATCGCTATTTATTTTAAAATGCATGTTTTAACGTTTGTTTTCATTTTTATTTACATTTCTATACAATACAGTGTTAAACTATACTGGCATCCTTTGAAAAACCAAAACTCCGTACACTACCAGCATTTCATGTTCATAGGGTAATCTGGGTCTCAGGACAACCTTGTGAAATATATAAGGAAAAGTATCATTACCCTTCTGTACAGGTAACACTAAAACTCAAAAAAGTATATAAATCTGACTAACTCAAGATCTCACAACAACTGGCAAGGGTAGCACAATGGCCATAATTTCTGGCTGGAGTTACGTTCTTCCTCCCCCAGGTCATAACCAATTGAATACTGATGTGCCCATTTTCAATACACCTGCACTGGAACTATGAGCCCAACTATTGCAGCCCTGTCTTTACTGAGTCTCCAAATGCGGCAGTGACACTTGTAATCTGTAAACACAAACACACGCTTTGCTCAAGACTCCGTTCAACGCTGAGTTTGCTCCACAGCATGACACTTATTATACACTACGGTCTCACCCATAACCTTCAGTGGAACAGTCTTCACCCCATGGGAAATTCTGTAACAGTAAAATTACTTCGTTCCATTCACTTACGTTTTAAATTAATAGTTTCCACGCCAAGGAAAAAGAACGAACCATACACACTGCGCTCACCGCCACCTCCGCCCAAAATCTGCTTAAGTGCCAAGCGCGGCAATAAAACACAAAGAAGTGGGGTTGGAAAGAAGCCACACTCTTCTCCGCGACTCCGCCGACCCAACACGACCCACCCAAACCAGGGCTCGCTCGGGCCCCGACCGCCGGTACCGGAGGAGGCGAGGCGAGGCTCGGCCCTGCGCGGCCGACCCCCGCCGGCGGCAGCCTCCTTCCCGCGCCCCGGAGGACACCAGCCAGGAGCGGGCGCAACGTCGCGCCCGAAGGTAGCAGGGGAACCCGGGCAGCTCCGCTTCCGCCCGGGCCTAGACCTCGGCGAGCAGCACCCCGGGCCGGGCCTTGAGTTAGGTTAGGCCGGAGGAGACTGCAGCCGCGAAGCGCGGAAGCGCGTCCGAGAAAGTGCGGAGCCGCGCGAGGGCCGGCGGGCGCGCGGCGGGGCGGAGGGCCGGAGGCCAGGCCGCGCCCAGGGCAGCGGGCCGCTACCTGCGAGCAGAAGTACGAGCCCTGGATGCCCAGCTTGATGCAGGTGGGACACTGGAGCTTGGCCTCGCTGCTGCAGCCGTCCGTCTCGCACACCCGCGTCTCCACGGCCGCCATGCTGCCCACTGCCAGAGGAGCGCCTCACCCAGCCAGAGGCGGAGGGCGGGACGGCGCGGAGGGCGGGAGCGAGCGGGGGAGGAGCGCTGCCGGCAGGCCGGGACTCGAGCCTCGGAGCGCGGCCCGCCAGGCCCAGCCGCGCGTCGCCCCGCCCCGGCCGGCCCGGCCCGGCCTGCCCCCACCTCAGCCCGCGCGCGCAGCCTGCGCCCCGCCCCGCCGCCTTCCCCGCGCCCGCTGCCCTTCCCCCCACCTGTTGGCCTTCGCGAGAGGCCGGCGACGGGGTCCAGCCGGGACTTTCCTGCACGGGAACCCAGCCGGCTGCGATCGTGACTCGGGCGCGGGAGAAGTGACCCGTACGCCGAACGGGTGGGGGCAGCTTCCGCTAAGTCCGCCCTGAGAGGGCTCACGTACAGCTCACAAGTGGTTGGCAGCAGCCTAGGTTCAAGTTGCTGCTCGGCATAACGCTGGTTCCGAGGCCTGACGGTCACCTCCAGAACCAAAGCGCTGTCCCAGAGCAGTGAGCAGGGCTCACATACGCCCTTTTCTGCTGCCTGATTTCAGGTTTTGTTGTTGTTGTTTGTTCGTTCGTTTAAGAAATTCCACCACCCCTATTGCACCATTCAAAATGTGTAGCGCTGGTAATATTAGCACAACTACCAGATAATGCAACAATATTTGTTGTATTACCCTAGTTGATTCTTGAAGAATAGGAGACAGTTGTGTTAATCCTGAAATGACATAGTTGAAAAAAGTTTTAAAGGTTTTCTGCCTGGACCCATGTGGCTCTTGAGATTCTTGGGTTGAAGGATGGCTGGAGGATGAGAAAATAAAAGAAAAAGCTGGGGTCAGGTGAAACCCTTAACCTCCTGATGGGCGGAAAGGATCTCCTCCCTCACTGCAGGGATGGTTTTTTAATACATTTTAGCAACTTAATGCTGCACAACACCCCGTGGTCCCAGCAGCCCACTGCGCTGGAGCTAGGTGTTTTCTGAACACAAAGCAGCTTCCTCAGGTGGTGTGCTTTGTTCCTGGAAGGCAGCCTTGCACCTGTGGTCATTTTCCAGCTTCATTGGCTCCCAACAATTATCAGACAAACCTGCTGTCTAAATCTTTCACCTATATTCCGGATTTCTAACTTGTGCTTGAATACCTTCCATCACTATGGATGAGAAATAATATCATCAACCAAATGCTGTGAACTTCGTATAACAATGTTTTTAAAAACTTTATCATTAGGGCTGGGAATTTAGCTCAGTGGAATAAGCGCCTGCTTTGCAAGTGTGGTCGTGAGTTCGATCCCTGATACTGATTAAAAAAAAAAAAAAAACCTTTACCATGGTTAATAATTTTTTTTACACAAAACCTTGTATCATTTTAATAACTTTTACTGGATAGGAATTAAGTAATGTAATGAAATCAAATAATAAAAATGTATAAATAATAAAAGTCCACATACAGAAACATATATGTCTAATATTTTAAATGAAAACTGGACTACAGAATACAGAATCTGTGGTTTAATCATTATATTGTGAGCGTCCTTTATTGTCACAAAATACACTGTTAACATTGCAACAGCAAGCAGAAACACTGAAATGACACCAAAATTTGGAGGCACATTTATTTATGTCAACAGGCACTGATTGGGATCATTCCCAAAATATCAGGCTCTCATCTCAAGTGGTCTAGGGCTTAGATGGGATAAACAAGTAGGAAGTACAGAGGAAGAATGGCTTGTCAATTAGGGATTGATTCTTACAATATGCATCATAGTGGCCAGCTATTTCTAAGAAACAAAAGTAACAGGAACTATAACTGGGCAACTAATGAACTGAAGTATACTTGGGGGGTGGGACAACAATTTTAGTGACTGTATAGTATTGGATAGTTTACTGAGCTAAATCCACTAATAATGATAATTTGGAGGACTCAAAAAAGATGGTGGATAGATAACAGCAAGCTACAGAGGCTCCCAGAGATAGTCAACTTAGATTCCAAAAATAATACAGTGTGGGGAGTCCCGAACAGAGGGAGATAGACCTTCCCAATCCAGGAAGAAACTAAGCTGAGAGAAAACAATTAAAAATACAGTCCTGGTAATACTATTGGAACAGCTACAGTCTCTGTACTGCCACTTGAACTCACTGCTTCAGCTTGCTGCCATTGCTGCTCTTGAACCCGCACAGTGGAAACTTATGGAGCTACCAAGAGCCCGCCAGTTTCAACTCACTGGAGACGCAGTCACACTAAGGATGGGAATCGGCAAACTGAACTGAGAGCCGAGCTGGCGGGGAACCTGCATTGACCTGTGGAGAGTGTCAGGAATAAAAACCCTTCCGTAGACAAAGAGACTCCAACAGATGACATTTTGGGACCAAGCAGACTGGACAGAACAAGGGGCTGCAGGGACTTCAGTCAGCTACTCCCTTCTCAAGAGGGATTGGTGGGGAGCACCTAACCTGAGTCATGCCCTGGACTGAGATCCAGTAGGCTAGCCCAAACCAAGTCCCTATCCCTGATAGTGCACCCTAATGCAGTGAAGCCTCAGCAGGTTCACTGACCCTGAGGGGCAGGCCCAGCAGAGGCTGCCTGGTCTGTATCTCCCTAGTACACTGAGTAGGCAGGAGCACCTAGCCATTGTGATTCAGACAAACTGTAATCAACAAAGAAAGAAGCTGGGCCTCCTATATACACCTGTGTGGAAGGAACAAAAAATATGAGAAGAGGAAGCAACAAGAAAGGGTCCCCATTCCCTAATCCTGAGAACATTGATCCAGGAAAAGTAAATGCAAAGGAGAATGAGGACAGCAAGCATGCAAGATCAGACACAGCACCAGTAGACATAAAGGGGTATCTTTGGGACCTCATAGACGAGTTCAAAAGTGAAATATTTAACCAAGTAAAGCAAGATATAAATAGAATAATTAAAGAAATGCTAAGGACATCTCAAGAAAAAACAGATTGAAGGAAGGAAGAACACAAAAAAGGGGAGAATTGTTTGATAAAGAAAATAAAGAAAACATAGAATACATGAAGCAGGTTCAAAGAGATTACCAGGAAGTTAAAAACTCCATTGAAAACTGGAAAAACAGCTTGAAAGAAACTAAGAATAGATTATCCAACCTAGAGAACAGGTTTGCAATGTGGGATCATGCAAGGAAAATTTTCTTAAGACTAACAAGAAATTAAACAGTAACAATACAAAGGCTACAAGATGACAAGAGGATCTATAATGAGAATAAAGAATGTGAATGAAGAAGCTGGGGTACAAACAAAGGAACTGCCAAGGCTATTCACAGAAATAATTAAGGAAAACTTCCCAAACATAGGAAAAGGAAAAGATATTCAGATGTATGAGGCATACAGAACTCCAGCCACCTAAAACCAAAACAGAACTACACCCAGGCATATAATAATCAAGATCCCAGAAATCCAATATAAGAATATCAAAAGCTGTCAGAGATAAGAAACAGATTACCTACAAGGGAGACTTCTCAGCACAAACCATCAAATTGAGAAGAGAGTGGAGCAAAGTATTCCAACTCCTGAAAGAAAATAACCTCCAGCCAAGATTGATGTATCCTGAAAAATTGTCTCTGGAAATTAATGGAAAAACAAGATGCTTCTAAGATAAGGAGGAACTGGGGGAATTCACAACCACCAATCCAACCCTACAGAGAATACTACAGGACATTCTAAAGAGAGAGAAAAGCACCAGAATTTCAGGAACAGTGGCAGAGAGGCCCCAATGAATGGAACAAAAAGCAAAATGAAGAAAACAAATAAACAATAACAGAAAAAGATCACAACATAAATGAGGCAGAGAGGGTTGGATATAATTTCTAATATGGATGGCCCAGATATACTAAATTAAGGAAAAAAGAGAATCACAGGCAGAGTGGATCAAGTGGTAGGATCCACTGAGATGCTCTTTATAGGAAATATAATTAACTCGAAGAAGGGTATATGGACCAAAATCAAATACGAGAAAATAGAACTCTATGTGATAGGGAACCAGAGAGTAATAGGGGCAACTGGACCAATATTTATGGATAGGTTGGAAAGACAGGCTTTAATAAGTAAAGAAATATAACTAGAGATCAAGTCCAATAGTGAAAAAGTTCAGAAACACTTAGGTAAATAGCAGGTTGCCCCCCCCCCAATATAAAACCAAGGGTATTGGGGAGACCCAAGAATACTCAGTACATCCTGGGTGAGTGAAAAGGGAGTAATAGTCTTAAAAAAGACAGCAGAAGATATTGTTAATAGTGTTAAAACCCATATTACTCGCACCACTCTGCTTAGATAGAACTTATTCCACCTTAGTTTGTATACAAGCACTAGATCTGAGGGCACAGATAGCTATCCCAAAATTATCAAGATACAGCACAGTGATCATCTTTAATTTCCTATTAACTTAATCTGGATCCCTGTATAACTTATACTGTTATATCATGACTGATCTTAGTTAAATCTGATTTGTTTGATTGCTGCTTATTATTGACAGATTTTATTCAAAACTGTTAGGTTGATAGTATCAAGTCAGAGAGTATAGACAACTATACTGAATGTGATAATGACTCACTACAATACTCATTCTGATTTCACGACTACCTGTTTTTGTAGTTCTACACTATCTACAAAGTTGGATTTCTATTAATACTGTTATGTACTGATATATTCAATTATACTTTATCTGATGATATAGCCAATTCTGTTGATGATAACAAGAGATAGCACAGTAACCATGATAGAACTCCTTTTACAGCAGTTTGATGTCTTTTTAGTTTTATGTGTCTATAGGAATATGTTTTGTTCTCTCCTGCTTTGTTCTGTTTCTCCCTCTAATATAGAAAGGATAGAAATACATGTTAAGACTCAAGCTGGCATAAAATCTATAAACAGTTTACGAGAACTGATCTTATAACACATGATGAAATGAGCAAATGCTTTGAAGCAAAAAAAGGCACCACAGGACCCAGTGCTGATTCCGAAGTGTCATGATGTGAAATCCAGCAATACTATTAATCTTTGTTCAGAGTGATTTTAGTCTGCTTTAGTTTATTTAATCTCAACATAAATGAAGATATAGATGAATGCGTACATGTTTAAGTGTATAGGATTGATAGCCATGTTACTAAG